AGGATAAGTATCGGCAAGGAGGTAGAGAAGTGGAACCCTCACAGGTTACTAAGAGGTCATGAAATGGTGCAGCCTCTTTGAAAAATGGTCTACATGATCCTCAGAATGTTCAACATAAAATTATCGTATGTCCCAATAATCCTGCTCCTCTGTGTTTACCTGAGAGAAATGGAAACATATGTCCACCAAAAGTAAACCTGGTCTACAAATGTTTATAGCAGCATTATTCCTAATGGTGAAAACAACTCAAATGTTCATCAAATGGTGAATGGATAAATGAAACGAGGCTTTCCTCTACAATGGCATTTTTCAGCAATAAAAAGAAATGGAGTGCTGACACACGTTCTAACGTGGGTGAAACTTGAAAACCTGAAGCTGAGTGAAAGAACCCAGTCACCAAAGGCCACTTAATGTGTGATTCTCTATATACGAGATGCCCAGAGCAGACAAACATATAGAAGTAGAAAGTAGATTCCTGGTTTCCTAGGGCTTGGGGGTGGGGTGCAGGGTATTGGGGGGAAATAGAGAGTGACTGTTAATGGGTACAGCTACCTTTGGGGTGATGAAATGCAAAATTTGTTGTCAGATGGTTGCACAACTTTATGAATATACTAAAAACTATTGGATTCTATATTTTAATGAGGTGAGTTGTATGGTAGGTGAATCATGTCTCAATAAAGATGTTTTTAAAGTGAGGCACAGGTATTGTACCAATCCTTGTTCTTGGTTACAAACAAAGTCTGCGGTTAATAAGCAGAAAGGGGAATCTATCAAGGCTGTGAGGAATCTCAGACTCTCCAGGAGGGTCAGGGTGTGAATCCCCTTCCCCCAGCCCCACCTGGAGGACTTCTCCAGGACAGGTGTCACCCACCACAGATCCTATGCTCCTGAGACAATGATGCGATTTCCCCTCACTGCCACCTGCCAGGGTCGAGTCCCCTTTGTCTCCCCAGTTCACATGAAGCTTCCCCACGATGCTGTCTTCTGGAAGTCCATAGAAAGGCCACTGGACTGACTGAGGCTAGGTCACAGGCCTGCACTTATTCTGCAAAGGAAGCTGACGAACTGAGCTCTGGCTGCTGCTGTAGGGGGCAGGCTGAATAACAAGAGAAGGACTCCCAGCAAAGGAAGAGTGTTTTTAATCTTCCCTTCCTGCTTTCCACTGGATAGGGTGAGTTTGAATTTTCTTCTGCTGTTTTAAAATTTATATGTCCTGGTTTTGTTCTTATGATTGTCATTAACCGGAGACTTGTGTGTAGGTTTTGTAATACGATAGTATGCTGCAGACAGCTCGTGCCCCTCTGTTCTCCATTCTGCATTCACTGGCTTCACCTTAGAAGCTTGAATTTTTATCACGGTGCATTTCCACCATGAATATTGTCAAAATGTTGTAAATCAGTGGCCCTCCCCCAGGGAACCAATTGTTAAACACGTAGAATATACCACGGCCTCTATCTCTATTGAATTCTAAATTGTCACTGCAACCAGTATTTTAATACAATCCTGCTCAATATGAGCTCCACGGGCCCATGCTGGCCTTCAAAATGGTTATTATCAGTCTGCAATAAGTTCAGAAATGTAGAGGAATTTATAGCAATTTTAAATTACTGTGCCATCAGCCCAACGTGTGAGTTTAAATTTCTCGAAACTATCTGTCCAAGGTGGATTTGAAATTTAAAAGTAGCCATTACCACGAGTTGTTTGAGAAGTACATTAGCCCACTCTCATGGCGGTTCTTTGTTCTATTCTTAACCCCTCATAAAATAGGGAGTGATATGATCTTCCCAGACATTAAAAGTCCCATTACCTGGTTATTGATGGATTCTGCATGGCCTCTGACCTCATGCCTTTAAAAACAGATTCTGATGTTTTTGCTCAAGTCCTATCGATCTGGCTTCTCCTTGGTAGAACCTCCTTCTCAACCACCATAATATCAGAAGGCTAAACAAGGCACCAGGGTTTAAAAACAAACAAAAACTCACATGGATCAGAAAATATCCCTGTTTCTCATATATAAAACCAAGAAGAATGTACAGAAACCTATATCAGTGGTTATCCTTGGGTAGGATAGGAATTGCAGGGGTTTTTTGTATATTTGAATTCTCTATATTTTAAACATTTTTAAATAAATGAATACATCTATGTTACAAAGAGAAAAACAAATGAATGCACTCATTTCTTGGGTTTTCTGGACTTTCAGTGGATTTTTCTTCTTATACTCTGGTCTTCTTTCAGAGAAAATGATGAAATTCAAACCCCGTTCCTGGAATGTCTTAGGACACTGTTATAAAACAGTCACAATGATACTCTCAGATATTAAATCCATATCAGAACTGATCTGCAAATGTTAGAGGCCGTATGTAATTGAAGTTTGCCACCCCCAATTTCCGACCAGATTCTGCTGTTCCTAGACTTGTTGGAAATTATTCTAACCTTGCTGGAACATCATTTCTTATATTCTCCACAGGTGGATGGGATCCAGGTATTTACTCTGAGTTCTCAGTAAGTAAGGCAGCCATCTTCCTGTGTTCATCCTGTGCATCTTAAACATGAGGACTGCGAGAACTATTTTGATTTGTGACCAGACAGTAATACATGCCTTGGATTTCCATTAAAAAATTTATATCCAGAGACTTTTAACATATATAATTTAATCATCTCCTCCTATTCTCAAGTAATATCCTCCAAATAATACTTACAAAAGAAATTTAAATTAAACCTACAGTGCAAGACTCTTTTTACTCTATAAATTGTAGCATATTTATTTAATGCTATTATCTCAGCATAGAAAACATGACACTCTCGTATACGACTGATGGGACATAAATTGGTAGAATCTATCTGAAAATCAATTTATCTCTCTGTATCAAAAGTATTTCAAATACATATACAGGCAGGACTTCTGGCTAAAGCAGAGAGGAAAAGCAGGTGAATTCTCCTCCCTCTTCCCCAAAATGATAAGATTGGACAAAATGATTATTTCAGGTCTCTGGAAATTGATCAAAAGCAAATAGGAAATTGAAAAAAAAAATTATTCGTGAAAACTTACTGGAGATTCAAGACGGCAGATTAGAGGAAGGCTGCATTTCCATCCACTCCCTGGCTCAGGATTCAGGCAGAGGGAATACTGTTTTTAGCATGGTGGGAGAAAGAAGGAATTCACTGAAGTTCAATATTGAAGTGTCAAAAACAGAAACTCAGAGATTCAGGTGCATTGAACAAAGAACAAGAAAGAGACCATTGGGAACAAGCTGGTGGCGGCAGCCGTGACAGTGCCAGTTCACTGCTCAGGGGAGGACAGCACAAACCAAGAAACACAATGGGCAAATTTGGTCGGGAAAAACCTGCAGAATAGAAAAGCAGCCCAAACTGAGCTGATCCAAAGTCTGCAAAGCAAACTGGGGTTGGGAAAGCACTTGATGTCTCTCAACTGGCAAGCAGAGAGGTGAGACAGGAGCCACCTTGCAGAGGACAAGCTGCAGCTTGCTGCTGTGGGACCCTAGGAGATCACAGCATGTGGCCTAGGTTGTACCCAGCTGAATGAAAGAGTCAGAGAAGACCGTACCCAGGGAATTCAAGCCAGGTACAGAGGGGAGTGCCACTCACTTTCCCTTTGCATCTGGTGGCTCAAGTGACCAGCTGAAAAAGTCAGGGAAATGAACAGGCAGTGTGACTACTCAGGGACTAAGCCTGGGAAGGCCATATTTGTGGGCAGGGGAGTATGAGAGCTGTGGACGATTGGCTCTCTTCCTGGCCAGTAGAATTCTTGGGAGGCTCCTGAGATCCAGATTCTCAGCAGAGATCGGCATCAGCCTGGTCCTAGGGTGGTGTTGATCTCGTCTCTCCAACAGATACCACCCAACACAGTTCCTTAGGCCTGATTAGAGCTACGCCCCTATTGCCAGAACCCTCCACCTGGCATTCTGCATCAGCCCCACCTGGGAATGCATTGATGTGGTCCGTCTGGACAAGACTCCAGTCAACAGTACTTTCCAGTCCATCCTACTTTAAACTCATGAGGGGAGAAGGTGAAAAGCGATTTCAACCAGCTTCGGTTCAGGCCACTCCAGCTGGCAGCTTGATGAGCAAGAAGGGATCCACATAGCCCTTGCATATGTTCCTTACATATGTCCCCCATCCCCCTTCACTCAAGAAGAAATGAAAAGGAATGAGGCAGTTAGCACTCATTCTTGCCAATATTTTTGACTTCAGTGGAGGCGATTCCTGTATTTTTTATTAAGAATTTTTCCCTTCTTTTTTTTTTGAGTTCTTGCTGTGCTGATTGATTCATGAATATACATAGACATATTTGAAATTTGTTTCTTTTTTATTTTTAGCATTTTTATGATTGTTATTTTTCTTTGTCTTATCTTTTGAAGGTTAGAGTTTTAGTTTATTTTAGGTTTTTCTTTTCTCTTGTTTCTCCTCTAATAGTCAAATTCTCTTGTTCTTTCTCTCTCCATTTACTTACTTTGTCTTTTTATTTATGTTTCTATTCCTTCTTCATAGCTGTCACTTGCTACATCTCTCTTGTTTTCTCTTGGTTCACATTTTCAGCATCCTAAACTTCACCTTCCTGTCACATGTCTTTTCTCTTAGTGAACTGCATCTTTACCATCTTTGGAACTATTTGGTTTATATCTTTGCCCCCACCATTCATGTTGTTGCAGTTCTTAAGACTGTGGATGGTGTAGTTGGCAGCTGCTGTTTACTTTAATGTCAGATTGAGTTCACAGCTATTTACTGGTTTTGCTGTTGGCAATTGCGGACCCCGCCCCCATTCCTGTTTGGGTGGTAGTTACAAGATCTCATAGAAGGCACCAGGTATTTATTTTAATGTTGTATATTTTTTGCTTTTGTTGTTGCTATTATGATTACCCCTTTTCTGTGCGGTGCTGGGACTCTACTGAGACACTACAAGTTCACAGGGTAGAGTCTCTGCTGCTAAACTAACCCCAGACAAAAGTTAGTACACCTGTTCCACATACCAATTAGCCATGTTCAAACTGTAGTGATACTTTAATCCAAAGATCAGAAGAGACAATCCTCCCCCAAATAATAACCATGTCCAAAGTTGGAAAGCTAGGGGGATCCCTCAGGTCCATTCATGGGCATCAACTCCTACAGCAAAAAAAAAACAGAGAATTAACACAAAGGTTATGAACACCATGTATACAAGAGATCTCAATCTACATCACTTCGGAATATACAGAATTGTTAAGAAAAGCAATCATAGAGGGTTACCCCACACACCCAACTGTATACAATACAACTGCCCAATCTACAAGAAGGACACCACTCTTTATAGACCTACAGGAAAAGTGAAATCCTAAAGCTCTGAAATAATATACATTGTATCAAATTACACTAATCATCACCAAATAACTAGCAAGGAAACTATACTGCAAACCCATTTATATATTAGAAAATTTGAAACCACCTGATATTCCAGAACACTTTGGCAAAGGAATGCTGTTCCCCGAAAAGGCCCACACATAAACATGAAAGCTAAATCCCTCCCAATATACCCAAAAACCCCACACAGGAATAAAAGAAATATGAATAAATGAGGAATCAAGGGAACTTCTTAACTTCATAATTCACTTGTAACTTGCCCCAAAGATATTATTGAAGTGGATGAAACACCAGATAAAGAGTTCAAAAGAATGATTATAAAAAGAGTTGATGACTCCCAAGAGAGCACAGAAAAACAACAAAACAATTGAAAGAATTAAGGAAGTCAGTACAGGGTATAAATGAGAAATTCAAAAAGGAGATAGAGATATTGAATAAGAACCCAACAGAAATCTTAGAAATGAAAGATACAATAAATTAAATAAAATGCTGCAACATGCACAGCCATTAATTCAGAAAACCAGTGAGGGGTGATGGGGGTTAAGAAAGAGAGGTCAGGTTCAAGATTCTGATCTTGGGTAGAGAAGCAGTGACACAGAGCTGGCCCAGCACATTTATCATATAGGGTCTTATAATCAGAAAGTTAAAGGCTATAGAGGCATTTTGTGTGTGTGTGTGTGTGTGTGCCCGCGCGCGCGCGTGTGCGCGGGCTCTCTCCCTTTGCACGCGTGTTTGCACGTGCCCGCTAGAAAGTCACAGGGCTAGAAGCATTTTTTTGTAGCTATTCCACTGTTGCAACATTAGGAGCTTCCTGAGGAACCCAGAAAGCCCATTGTCCAAAGTTTCTATTAAGCAGGCAGGCTTGGAAGTTACAGCACTGGTGAAACATTGTAGTTATCTTGCTATGCTCAGAATCTTCTATCCGAGAGTCAGGGTCTGGGATTCAAGGTTAAAATTGATATCTCTGGAGGTTTGCCCAGAGAGACCAAGGGCCGGCATCACCACAGCAACCAGGAAATATGAACCCTGTGCTTTTGCACAGGGGACTCCCAGCACAAGTGCACCACAACCATGAGATAATCACACACCTTGATTCATATCACCACTTCCCACAGTTCCCAGAGCTAAAAGATAAAGTGGCCAACCTTAAACATTCAGCCAGTATTAAAGAAAATAAGTAACCATGACCAGAACAAACAAATACTCTGGGACAACATTAAGAGTACAAATGTAAGAATCAATGAACTCAAAGAGGGTTGTGAGATGCAGGCTAAGGCATGAATAACCTCTTCAAGGAAATAATAACAAAACAATTTTCAAACCTTGAGAATGAGAACAGACATCCAGATACAGGAGGCATTCAAAACTCCAATGGATAAGATCAAAACAAGAACCTCTCAACACAATATAATTAAAATATCTAACATATGGAGCAAGTGTAGAATTTTAGAAACCTCAAGAAAAAAAAATGTCAGGCCACATTGAGAGGCAAGAAAATTAGAATTAATTCTGATTTCTCAGCACAAAAAATGCTGAGAGAACATTATAAGCCAGGAGCGTTTGGAATAATGTGCTTTAAGTCCTGAAAGAAAATAACCATCAACCAAGATTGCTATATCCAGCAAAGCTGTCCTTCAAAATTGAAGTAGAAATAAAAATCTTCCAAGGTAAGCAAAAACTAAAAGAATTCATGACTACTAAGCTGAAACTACAGAAAATACTTAAAGAAGTACTGCACACAGAAGAAATAAAAAACAAACCTAGAGCTCACAACAGACAAAACTCATTTGAAAAGTAACGAAGCAAATAAGAAACAGGACCAAATTAAATGTTAGAAATAAACCACATGGCAGGAACTAATAAACATCTCTCTATAACAGCATTGAATATAAATGGTCTCTGCTGTCCAATTAAAAGACCCCACAGGCCAAATTGATGAGAAAGAAGATCCAACTATAACCAGGTACAGTGACACATGCCTATAATCCCAGCAGCTCGGGAGGCTGAGGCAGGAGGATCATGAGTTCAAAACCAGCCTCAGCAAATTAGTGAGGCTTTAAGCAACTGAATGAGACCCTGTCTCTAAATAAAATATTAAAAATGGGGGTATGGTGTGTGGCTCAGTGGTTATGTACCCTGGGTTCAATCCCTGATACAAAAAATATCCAACTATATGTTGTTGATAAGAGATTCATCTTATAAGCAAAGAGAGCCATAGGCTAAAAGTTAAACGATGGATATTGATATAATATTCAAATTAAGCCCTAAAACAAGCTGGAGTAGCTACTTTCATATCCAACAGAGCAGACTTCAAACCAAAATTAATCAGAAGAGACAAAAAAGATCATACTTGTAAAGGGAAAAGTCCAACAAGATGATATAAAAATAGTAAATATTTATGCCCCAAACATTGGTGCAATTAATTATATAAAGCAGACACTACTCAAATTAAAGATGCAAACTCCAGTGCAATAATACTGGATGACTTCAACACCCCTCTCTCACCAATTGATAGGTCATCCAGACGTAAATTTGGTAAAGATTCTTCATACTTAAAAAATAATATTAATCAAAGGGACTTATCAGACATCTACAAACTATTTCATCCTACAACAGCCAAATTTGCTTTCTTCTCAGCAGCTGATGGAAAGTTCCCCAAAATAGACCATATTTTAAGCCACAAAGAAACTCTTAACAAATGCCACCCCCAAAATATACAATTCTTTGTATCTTATCTGATCATAAAGAAATGAAATTAGAAATCAGCCCCCCCCCCAAAAAAAAACCCTACAGAACTAAATAAACACATGGAGACTGAGCAATATATTTCTTAATGATAAATGAGTGACAAAAGAAATCAGGGGAAGAACTTTAAAATTCTTAGAATCAAATGAGAATAGTTTTACAACATACCAGAACTTCTAGAACCCTATGAAGGCAGTTCCAAGAGAAAACTTTATAGCTATACAAAAAAACAAAAAAATAATGCCTCTCAGGACCCTGGAAAAACAAGAACTCATTCCAAAACCAGTACAAGGAAGGAAAGAATTAAGATCAGAGCCAAAATCAATGAAATAGAGAATTAAAAAAAGATACAAGGGATCGATGAAGTGATGAGTTGATTCTTTGAAAATATAAACAAGGTTGATAAACCTTTAGCCAAACTAACCAAAAGAAACAGAGAAGGCCCAAATTAATAAAATTATAAATGAAAAAGGAGAAATCCCCACAGACATGACAGAAATCCAGATGATCATTAGGGATGATATTGAAAAATTTATACTCCAATAAACTGGAAAACCTGTAAGAAATTAGTATATTTCTAGACACATAGGACCTGTGAAAGTCGAATCAAGAAGACATAGAAAACCTAAACAAATCAATATGTAGCAATAACATAGCAGTAATAAGAATTCTTCCAAAAGAGAAAAGTCCAGGATCAGAATTTAGATTCTCAGCTAAATTCTATTCACATTTAAGAACTACTGTCGATGTTCCTCAAATTATTCCATAAAATAGAAAGGGATAGGACACTTCCAAATTCAATCTATGAAGCCAGTTTCACCCTTAAACCAAAAACCAGGACACATCAAGGGAAAAAAATATACAGCAGATCAATATCCCTGATGAACTTAGACTCAAAAATTCTTAATAAAATATTAGCAAATGATATTTAAAAACATATTAAGAAGACTGTACATCATGACTGAGATGGTTTTATCCCAGGGTTGCAGGCATGGTTTAACATACACAAATCAATAAATGTCATTCACCACATAAGTAGAATTAAGGACAAAAATCACATAGTCATCTCAATAGATGCAGAGAAATCCTTTGACAAAATTCAGCGCCTATTCATAATAAAACCACTGAAGAAACTAACAATAAAAGGAACTTACCCCAATATTGTAAAACCTATATAAAACAAATCAAAGCCAGCATCATAGTTAATGGGGAAAAACTAAAAGTATATATTTTTTTAATCTGGAATAAGACAAGGATGTCCATTGTCTTTAATCATATTTAATATGGTATTTAGAAATTCTAGCCAGAGCAATTAGGCAACACAAGGAAATAAAAGGGATTCAAATGGAAAGGAGAAAATCATATTATCACTGATTGCCAACGATACAATTCTATTCTAAAAAGACCCCAAAATCTCCACCAAAAGACTGCCAGATCTAATAAACAAATTCAGAAAAGTAGCAGGGTACAAAATCATCATATAAAAAACATTTTTACTGTATACTGATAATGAATCTGCTGAGAAAGAAATCAGAAAAAAAAAATCTCATTCCTAATAGTCTTAAGAAAAAGCCCTAAGAATAAATCTAACCAAGGAGGTTAAAGACCTCTACAATAAAAACTATATAAAACATTGAAGAAAAAAATTGAAGACCTCAGAAGGTGGAAAGACCTCTCATGTTCATGGACAGGCAAAACTAACGTTGTTAAAATGGCCATATTATGAAAAGCAGTATACAGATTCTGTGCAATCCCTATCAAAATACCAATGACATTCTTCACAGAACTAGAAAAACAGTCCTAAAATTCATTTGGAAAAATAAAAGACTCAGAATAATCCAAGAAATTTCTAAGGAAAAAAAAAAAAGCAATTCTGGAGGTATCAGAAGATCTGGCTTCAAATTCTACTACAGAGCTATAGTAACAAAAACTGCATGGTACTGGCATAAAAACAAACACACAGACCATGGAGCAAATAAATGACACAGAGGCGAACCCACACAGAGACAATCATCTGATTC